AATTACTTTTTTCCGTTCCGTTGTGGCAACAGCAACATCACAAGCAGCTGAGTGTGATTGTGGTCGATTATGTGTGTGGATGACGATGGGGTTGGGGTTGGGGTTTGGAGGATGTGGATGTGGATGTGGATGTGGTTAGTGGATGTCCGTGTGCGTAGACGTTCATTAATTGTGACAATCAACAAGCTACGCAAAAATCAACCATCAGCAGCAGCAGCAGCAACGGCAGCAGCAGCAACTTCCCCCTGTTGCTCGTCGCTAAGCGATGTTGCTGTTGCTGCTTCAGCTGCAATTGGTTACCCACCAAGAAACCAGTTTCCCAGCAAAATACTCTACACAATCCTTGACAACTGCCTTGAGTATTATAGACCATAAAGGAGCTTTATATATAGTTTAAGAATTTCAATCAATCGCAAATCCTAAGAGAAACCTTTTTAAAAAACTTATTTTGGGTATATAGGATACAGAAATATATACATATATTTCCAATTGAATACTAGTCTGAAGTATTTATTTATTTCTTTAGTTAAACAATTACCCTTTTCGCTTTATAAAAACCCAATAATAAAAGAACCTTTCCTTAAAAAGATTTACTAAAATCTAGTTCACCATAAAGACAATCTTCTTAGTTCGGAAAACAACTGAAGAACTCAATAATCTAAGATATTTTTAACTATATACACAATATAATGTAAAATATAATACAAAATAATATACAATATATTTGTAAATATTTGTATAGTTAGAGCATTTAAACTTCTTTAAACCATCTCTCTTGCTGACATTCTTATAATATTTCTGCTGTTGTCTGTTGGCTTTTGCCCGCTTCCTTTTGGAATTTCTGCTGTTTTATGAATGAAAATGTTTTTTCTTTGCTTGTTTGCGGTTGGGGCATGCTTCCGTTAAGGCAATCCAGAAGAAGCAAAGAAAAAAAAATAGTGGTATAAAAAAAGCGAGCAAAAGTGGCACGGTCAGTCTGCGTGCTGCCCCTTGGCAATGCCCCTTACTCTGGTCTCGCCTATGCAAAGTATTATTATATTTATTTTTCTTCTTCACTTTTTTTTTTTTTTGTGAGGAGCACACAAATCTTTTCTACTTCCGGCTCTCTAAGAGCTCAGCTTGAGTTTAGTTTTCACTGGAATCGGAATCGGAATCGGAAGATGGCGAGAGGTGGAGAGGCAGCAGCGCTAGTGACCTAACAACTTCCGTGTTACTTCCGCTTCTTCAGCTCTTCCTACCAACATCTTTCTACATCCGTTTCTAACAATTTTAATTGAATTTTCGTGTAAACACAGCGAGTTTTAAACCCATCCCATTCCATATTATCTTGACCGGGACTAAAACGCAGAGGCTGAGCCGGCATACTTCCGCTTTGCTCTGGCCACATGACGACGCCAGATTGCATAATTCTCTAGTCAAAAAAAAACCAGAAGAAGATCCCATGTTAGGAGAGAGAAAAAAAAACAACAATGTGAAAAGGAAATGTATAGAAAAATCATTAACGCACAGACAAAAGATAACAGCGGGCCGAGGGATAGGATAGGATAGGATATATATATATATATATATATATATATATGGTGCCAGGCAGGGGCTACCTGATGGCCCAACACACTTGTGCCAGGCGGCAGGCTGCTGCCATCCATGTCTCGTCTAACGGTCGTCGGGGGCAGGGAAAATCGGAAAAATCTCCGGTCTACTCCGGACGTTGATCGTCGTGTGTGCGTCAACGCCCTCATGGGAACCTAGAGCTCAGGGGTTCGGGGGTTCTTCTTTAGAGAACCAACTGTTGCTGCATCCATCTTCTGCTTGTTGTTTGAGGAAATTTATGTCATTGATTGTCCTTTGGTTAGGCAGTTATTGATAGCACCAGATGAGCGGGGCAGGTGTAGCCCTCAACCCAAAAATCTCAATTGTTTCCTGCATTTTTTTTCTTTGGCAAAAATCTAAAAGTCATTGTATATATATATATAAAAGTATATAAATCAGAGCAAAACTAGGAATATAAACAATTGGAAACTAGCTTAGCAGAAGAAATCAATTAAGGAGTATTTTTATTGAAGATTTAGCTTACGTTAAGCTCTATTATAATCTAGAAATTCCTTTAGAAGCATAGACCCCACTATCTGCAATTCAAGACACCTCATTTCCGTTTGCGTGGAATGGCATTCCCCGCATTCAGGCAGCCACATGAGGCATGACACATGAGGCATGAGGCAGCTATACAGTACGGTAAAGTACCAATGAGGTTTCTACAAGAATGCCATTGAGAGGGAGTTCCCTCCTCTATTTCTCGCATGGGGGGAGGTTAATTTGATTCAATTAAAGAGATGCTCTGGGTGTAGCGGCTTTCCATTGAAATCAAAAGTCACAAAAGTTCGTCAACGCTTGCTGCCTCACGTTGCAAATGTCCAGATGGTTGATGGAGTGAGATTTCCAACGTTTATTGTCTTTGGCGCGTTCTCAACTTCCGTTGGCACTGTACTTTGACACATGAGGCTAATTGTTTGACTCTTTTTGGGGAGAGGGACATGGACATGGACATGGACACGGACACACGCGTGCTGTTGATGGAGATCGGAGCAAATTATAAAGTGTGGCACCAGCACCAGCAGCAGCAGCAGCAGCTTTGCCCGGACCCCGCCCCTTTTCTTTGGGGAGCTGTTAAACCGGAAATCCGGTCGCCTCCTCTTGCCTCTCCTCTACACTCCACTGTTTGTTTTTTCAGCGTTTTTTTGTGTCGTTATTTTTTATTTTTTTCTTTTCTTGTTGTTTTCTTGTCGTGTGTTGGCCCGGCAAAACTTTTACTACTCTTCCAGCTTCTTCTTTGCCGAGAAAGAAACTTTCGTGTTGTTTATAAAGTTGATTCTACGAAAAACACTGAGAGAAATGAGAGTTCTAAGCAAATTGGAGATAATTTTTGAATGTAAATTTAAAGTTTTCTTAAGAATTTTATAAACATTAAACAGGATTTACAATAAGTTTGCCCTGAGTATTTCTTATTATTAAATTTCCTATAATATTTGTGTTCGCTTTCTTTGAAGTTTCTTTAATAAATATCCCCCTAATCAAGTCCCATTTTCTCTCAGTGCTCCCCATTGTCAGCGGAACAGAGATGAGCTGATGACATTGGAATGTCGTTGAAGCATGTCTTCTTTTTTGATATTTGCTGCCCCTTCTGCCCTATGATTTGCTTATCAATATGTAAAATTTTATATACGAATAACGGTAATGTCTTTGAAGTGCCATTTCCCGACACAAACACACGCACAAAAAACCGAAATTAAAAAAATACTCCAAGGGAGAAGGGGAAAACGACATACAAAAAAACTGGCAGCAAACTGAAGAAGGGGAAGAAATCTCAATAAACATGCTCGAATTTCAAAGAATTTCTCACGCTGCTTACTCAATGTGCCCCCTTAAGCAGCAGCTCCTTGCATATCCTGCCATATCCTGGGGTGGACTGACAATGGTTCCAGGATCGGGCTATCCCCCCCGAAATCGTAAAGAATCTCAGCAATGCTCGAGGCTGGCTCCTCCTTCGCCTTCATGAAATGTGAATAATCAAAGTGAAAACAAATCTGCTCAACGAAAAAGGGTTAAGGACTTTGTCAGCCATATCCTGGAGCAGGTGCAACTGCCAAAGAAACTAGGTCAAAAATGTGAGAGAGAGCGAGTGGGGAATTCCAAATAAAGGAAGTTCCGGAAGGAAGCCGCGGCATTATAAAAAAAATAAAACAAAATCAGGAAGTAAATAAAACTAATAAAGGGGATAAGGAAGGCAGGCAGACAACATCCGGAAGAGAGAGAGAGAAAAATGAGGTGGAGAATTGTCATAGAGCTGGGCTGTGTGTTCAATTGAGCAAAAAGGTAAAAGGTCAGAGGACAACCTGTTCCGGATTCACTTCCGGCCTCCGGTTTCCCCCTCTCCCTCTCTCTCTCTCTCTCTCACACACCTAACAGCTAATCCCTTTCTGCCATGTGTGTGTGTGCACTCACTTATTTACTTCCGTCAGTTGCACTAAATCACTTCCGGACTTCCGGTATGCAGCCATCCTCCTTCACCCTGCGATTGAACCAAAAAAGGATCCCCCCTGGCATGACCCTAAGCAGCTCAGGTAGCAGCAGGTGCAACCCGCAAGGAAGAACAGAAAAATAACCGAAAAATAATTTGAATAAAAATCAAGAAAAAAGGAAGAGCAGGGGAGAATGGAGAGAGAAATGAAATTGAAACCAAACAAAAGGCAAAAATAAAACTGAGAAGAAAACCCTCGAGAAAAAGGGATCAAAACCGTAGAAGAACAAGGTGCGCGACAGTTCCACTTAAAAAATTGATTGCTTTCGATAATTTCATTGGAAACCTGTTGTTGTTGTCGCCATCGAGAGTCACTAACAATAAAATCGAATGATAGAAGGAACATCATCAACAGCCCCTCGAGTGGCATCCTCGAAAAGCACATACACAGACAGTTGCTAGTTGTTGGTTTTTATGTTACGGCCAGGACAACGAAGCAAAAAAAAACAGGACACAATACATAAGTTTTTATTGGGCCCAGGACTTGAAGCCAAACAAAACACACAAGCGAACTTTTGGGACTCTGTTTAGAGAATTCAATTAATGGACAGTATTTGTTGGCGAACAAACAAACCAGAGATATCCTTGTCCTTGAGTCTTGGTCTTGGGTAGTAGTTATGTTAATCAAGTTGCCAAGATTATGTTGACACAAGCGGCTATTATTGAAGGGTTCTCAGACATTCAAAGCACTAAAAGTTTGCCTTAATGGTTTGTTTATCGTATGGAGATTCCAGCGAATAATCACAGGGATTATGTAAATATATTTTTATGAGCCGAAATGAAGGACTAAGTATGTTCTAAGGTCAAGTTGGAAGGCTTTAAGGTTCTACCTAACAACTATCTTCTTTTATAGGAAATTCTTTAAGTATATAACAATATAAGTAACATACTTTACTAACCTAACCTTATCTTATTCTTCTTCCAGGACTCTGAGGACGATTTACCCATCTGTGCCCCAAATGCCGTATGCTCTAAAATCGATTTATATGAAACTCCTTGGATTGAGCGACAATGCCGATGTCCTGAATCGAATCGAATGCCCAACAATGTGATTATCCATCATCATAGTCACAATCTGGGTGGATCAGTAGATTCCACAAGGTATCGAAACTACTACGAAAGGGAGAAATTGCTGCAGCACAAGCGAATGCTGCTGGGTGAATTCCAGGACAAAAAGTTCGAGAGTTTGCATCTAAAGAAGCTTATGCAGAAGCTGGGTGCTGTCTACGAGGATGAATTGGATCAGTCACCGGACTACAATGATGCTTTGCCCTACACGGAGTTGCAGGATAATGAGTTCCCACGTGGTTCTGCACACATGAGACACTCTGGACATAGAGGATCCAAGGAGACACCAGCCAGTTTTATAGGCGGTTGTCCCAGTAGTTTGGGTGTGGAAGATGGCCATACCATTGCGGATAAGACCAGGCACTATAAGATGTGTCAGCCAGTACACAAATTACCAGTTTGCAAGTGAGTTTCTTACAAATAGATATAAAATTGAAAGAAATCTCTAAATAATATTATTTAACTTCTTTTTTCAGGCACTTCCGTGACTACACTTGGACCCTGACAACAGCAGCCGAGTTGAATGTCACAGAGCAGATAGTGCACTGTCGTTGTCCCAGGAATTCGGTGACATATCTCACCAAGAGAGAGCCCGTGGGCGAGGGCAGTCCTGGCTATAGATACCTCTTTGCCTGCTCTCCTGTCACGGTAAGTCCCAGATGCTTTCCCTTGTTGCAAATTTGTAACTAAAATATTTCTAAAATTTTATTTACAGCGTCTTCGGTGTCAGCGGAAGCAGCCCTGCAAGTTGTTTACTGTGCGAAAGCGCCAGGAGTTCCTGGACGAGGTGAACATTAATGCCCTGTGCCAGTGTCCTAAAGGACATCGCTGTCCTAGCCATCACACACAGTCCGGCGTGATAGCCGGCGAGAGTTTTCTGGAGGATAATATACAGACCTATTCCGGTTACTGCATGGCCAACGATTGAGCAAATCAATTGGGATCATCCATTCCACACACAAAAACAAAAAAACACATTGTAAAGGATGATAAATTTGAGCGGGGAGAGCAGCTACTATATAAATATATCGACTGAGCCAATTGAGTCTCGCCAAGTTACCAATTAATTAAAATGAAAAGAGATAATGGATAATCGAACAAATACAAAATGCCTAGAACTTAAAAATGCACAGATCCACAGAAGATAGAATTCTTTTGCTACCAAATTTTGGTCATAAATCGTATGATATAAATATTTAATTAGTTTTAAGAGACGATATATGTGCGAAGTTTGTTATACAAAATAATTTGTAATGAATATTTATGAAAACGCAAGAGCAGAGCCAGAGCCCAGCAGCAAGGTTCGCATATGTAATATAGCAACAAACTATACTCGTAATCTAAACCCGCATAAATTGTATATATTTCTATATAATGTGTATGTGTATTGTATAACTAAAAACAGTTTCGTTTATAATTGAAACCGAAACGGAAATGACACGCAGCATATGTCAAAGAGCAGAGGGATCATAATGATGATGTGCCAAACGCAAGAGGTGCAGTTAGTTATCGTAAGGATATAAGGATATATATGTCATTGAATAATTCATAGGGCAGTTTGAAACTGTGGCAACTCTGGCAGCTGTTTTAGTGCAATTTTTGTAAGCAATTTCCATTAAATTCATATGGCATTTCTATGGAAATTGTAAATTAATCTAGAAATTGCGCAAACTCCAAAACAAATTAGTAACCACCCATGACTTTTCCTTCTTTAAACCTTTAACCTAACCATATGTATATCGATTTAAGCTTCTGAAAATGTGGCAACGAAACGAGCGATGTTTAAGTTTAAACACTTGTAAAAAGGCAACAAATAAATCTTAATTTATAAAAAAAAAACAATATATTTAAATTTCATTTCTTTTAATTACAAAACCAAGATGTTAATCTATTAGGTTTCTTTTTTTTAGAAAATATAAGATATCTTTAACCAAGATATAATTTTAATATTTATTAACTACATAAGTTATAATTTTAAAAATTATTTAAAAACCCCTTATAGCATTAAGTTGCCCTTTAAAGTAGGCAATAAAAATTATGCTGCACACGCACACAGTTAGTTCTTCGCTTTCCGCTTTACAATTTTTACCACATACCTTAAGGCGCACATTTTATGCGGAAATTCATTGCCTACTTTTCTGCAAATTATAACAAAATTCTACATGCAAATTTAAAAGTCTCACCAAAGAAAATATATAAAAGTTTTACATGTTTAAAAATATACATAAAACTAAAAATAATTACCATAAAAAAAATCATGCTCAAAAGTAATCAAACAACTAACCGGATACACCAATTTTCAAGCCATAAAACTAATTGCCAGCCTCAATAATAACTCCATTGTAAAATGTCTAGCCCATATATTTAAGCAACGGCAAAATCCTTAGCGAAAACTTCTCAACCAAACACGTCAGTCAGCCAAAAGCAACGAAATGCAGCCAATTATAAAGCCATAAAATTACACTTCATGCTAATAGCAGACAATTATAGAACTCGGGAAATTTGCTGCCTTGATTCTTGACCAGATGCCTTCCATCAAAATTATTCAACCGAAGCCGGGGCTATGTCCAAGCCGAAGACGTCTAAACTCTTCTCTTCTGGCCAAGCAAAAACAATTAAAAAAACTAAAGCAAAAGTAACCGTAGAAGCTTAAGCAGCTGAAAATGCAAATCATTGGACCAATGTTGATTAGAAAGCAGCTGCCGACGACGACGACGACGACCCGCCGGTTGTATAATTAAATAAATACCTCAAGAAGCTGGGGCCCACAAATTCAATTACAGAAAATCCATAAAAAGAAAGAAGCCTAAGCAGAACAACAAAAAATTATCAAGAATTATGCGTATAAAAAGCATTAAATTTTCTACCCAAAGAAAAACAAGAGGTGTAAAGTTATACAGTGCGAAAAGCCAAGAAGTGAAACATAAAAACGATGAGTACTTTTTTACGGCATTCACCGGAAGAATAACTGCTGGGTAAAAACGAAGAGCACCAGGAGGGCAGCTTAGCTTAGAATGCATAAAGCGGACTTATATTGGGCATAAGAGATCCTCAAAATCATTTAGTGTGCCAACTAATTAGCCAAAGATCTTGGTAAAATGCTTCAGGCAGGCAGCCAAAAAGCCGCAGCATCAGCTTTGTGGCATCCACATGAAAACAGACAGAATGGGCACAGCCAGAAGACAGTTTATAGCATTAGCCCCTTAACAAGACGACCCAGCGAAGAATGAACACGGCCACATACACAGAAGACACTTTAGAAGAAAAAACATTAATTAGAGTTTAAGGAGCTTGGTACATTTTTCATTAGTCGGGCTATGAAATTCACTCACTTTTGGCCCACAACACAGAACAGAAACCGACACCGCAGACACCGAAATTGCCAACAGTTAGCCCAGAGTCGAGAAAATAATTCATTGTCGCCCCATTCCATGCCTCCGCGCTTGTTGTCCTCAATCTCGATCTCTCGAGGTAGACAATTTTCACATCAACATGGGATTCTTGTCCCCAGAAGATGCTCTGTTTTCTTGGTACTATTTTGGCCCAGTAAAAGTCGCAACTGACAATTGGATAAAGGAATGTTGGATAGGTTTATATGAAAGAGTAGTAATTTTAGGAATAAAGTAGATAAAACTTATATTAATATAAATCAATTGTATCTTGTCACACTCAATAACTTTCTTAAAAACTTGTAGCTTTTCAAAATAAGTTATTTCCCAAAAACCAAAGGATTAAACTCCCATTTTGAATTCCCTAAAATCATATAAAAATCATCAATTGCTTAAACAGTGTTAAGAAGTGCTAAACACTTTAAAGACCAATAAAAATAATATCTTACTCCATTCAATGCCTAGTCAATAATATTATAGACTCTTAAGCCTTTCTTAAATACTAAATATGCTAATAACAACAACTCCTTGGCCTTCAGGCAAACATCAAACCACTTTCCTTCAATCCATCAAAGATCAGGTTAAAATCGCAGTGAATCTGCAGGCTCCTACAAGCACTTCTTTTATTTATATAGCCAAGACATTCCAAGATTGATTATTATTTTGGCGAAAGTCAATTTTCATCGCCCATCGAAACGCAGCGGGGCAATATGACTTGACTTTGGCTACTGTTGCACACACAGATGCCGTCGATAACTAATTATTTCCACTCATCTTTCAGCAGCTGAGCTGAGCTGCTAAGGTGTCTGCATTTTCAATATTTATGAGCCATCATCATCGTCGTCGTCGATGACTTGACTCCCCCCTAGTCACAGCTTCCAATCCCAAAGCCTCTGACTGACCAGATCCAAGCTAAGCTCTGGCCAAAGCATATATATATATTGATTGATTGGCTTTGATTATTGACCGGACAGCCGATGGCTGAAATTTGCATGCCAAAAGCAACTTAGGGAGATATTGGTTGCAGGGCTTTAAGTTTCAAGCTCGAGTTATTGGATGTCAGATTTATATGCATCATTAGAAAAATGCCAAAGGAGAAGCTTCTTTTTTATCTTTCACTGTTTGTAACTTTCTTTCACATCATTAAAGTTAAAAACAACAAATTAGCCGCAAAACAAAAGCAACGTCAAGAACTGTCCACAAAATAACCAAGACAACCCGAAAAAAACAAAGTTGCATGTCTTGAAGCAAAAAAGTCATATTTATGCACTGAGGGAAATGGGGAAGAAGGGATTATTTTAAAATATATTCAGTGGGATTTTAAGTCATTTTGGAGATGGATTGAAAGGTTTTGTAGAACACATTTTAACTGTAAATTTTAAGGAAACTTGAAGAAATATTCATACCTTGAACATATTATAAATATACAATTAAGCCTTCAAACTTTCTTGTAAAACATTTTATAATGTTATAAAACATATGTATAGGTTTAAATATAATGGATATAAACATAATATAACTGCATGGGAATTTTTATATTTCTTATTAAAATATTTTAATAGTTCCCTAAATGCAAAATAAACTATTACATAAATGTAAAAGAAAATCATTTTATGCATTTCTCTGTTCTTTATTTGTATTATAAAATTTCTTATTTATTTTATAAAATTCTTAAGCTCATTCTACCTTCTCACAGTGCACAGGGAAAATTAGTTTCGTGTCCGAAAAATTTCTTCATTTGCGGGTCACTAATTAGACGCGATTTGTGAGACCCGATTTGACATGCAATCTCCCCCAAGTGGAAAAAGGGGGGCCGGGCTCTGGAGGCCGCCTTTAAATGGCCAACATCTGCATAATTATGCGTTGTTTGGTGGAAGGTGCTTATGCAGCTCAATGAATTTAATTGAGCAACATTAAGCGCTGAATGGCAGGGGTCTATCTTATCAATTTTAGCCTGGGAGAAATGGGGAAAACAGAAGAAGCTGCCTCTTGGGGTTCACTCAAATATAATTATTCTTAATATATATCTTTAACCCTCAGCGGGTACTTCTTTTTCCGGCTATTTTCACCGTTTCTCTGCCTGGGCCAACACAGGAAGCTCTAAAGATTTCACCTGTTTGCTGGCTTAGAAAGTGAAATTCGTGGGTATAGTTTACACATAAATTTTAGTTTTATTTTGTATTTTATTGCCTCAGAAATGAGACATTAATCAGTGCAATTAGTGCAACAATTGCTTATTGATATCATCCGATGGATATGGATTTTTGGCAAGACAAATTTTCCCAGATCTTAATGGCATTTTAATGGGAGCAGCGATCAGGCAGCCATATGAGGTGCCTCTATTTGCAGGGTGAAAGTTTATCGATTTATTTTTTGGAAGCTGCTGGCCAAAGGAAAACTTGTGATATGCAAAAAAATAAAGAGCTAAAAAGCCAACCGATTGAGGCAAAACACTCTTTTTTAATGGCGAATCCAGACAATGCCATAAACTGCAACAATAAAGCAATAACAGTAACAATAACAATAATTGTAATAGCCAAAGTGCAATGCCAAGTCATCGCTGCACAGTGGGGCAATTATCATGGATTGGTTGCTTTAAAATCTAACTTGATGTTTTTAGAGGCTCTCATAATCAAAAAATAAATACTATGCTGCTTTAAAATAACTTTAAGTCAAATTTCTAATAGAAAATATTTATTACACCACTTTAAGTGCTTGTTTTATTGCTTAAAAATATATTTAAGCTCTTCCTAATTTTCGCTACTACTAATTTAATACAAAACCTTTCTCTTTTGACCCAAAATTTAATTTAAAAATTAACTTTAAAGTGAGAAATCCTTAAATGAACTTGCAGTCGTACAAAAACCACAGTGCTACGCAGAGGTGCGGCTGCAAAACGAAAGCCGAAAGATACAAAGATACAAGATGCAAGATACAAAATCATGCATCACAATGGGCAGAGGCACATGCATTGAAATTGAAAGTAACACACGACTCTGTGCAATGCAACTTGATGATTTTCTAATTACACAAAAGCCAAACATCCAAGAGAGCCAGAGAGATGACTCAAGTGCTTGGATGTTCAACAACGATGAACATTTTACGAAAAGGTGTTAAGTATGCAAATGACGAGCAGCTCCTCAGTCATGTTGTAATATTTACAGCCAAGCACATGATCTCTGTGTGGGCGGGACCGGGGCCATTCTGCCCCCCCAAAATAAAAAAGCGACTGGTAAAAGTCGGCAGAGATTTTTTTCAGTTTTTCTTCTGCCTGTGTGACCCCATAGACCCACAGAGTCAGAGCCAGTAGGAGATTCGCATCTTTCAGATACTTTTACATGTACTTTCTCTACTTAGAGTTTGGCATCGCACAATTTTTTCTACCATTTTTTTGTCTTTTTTTTGCCTGCCTTTTA